ATGTAGCGGCACGTCTGAATGTATGAAAAACGCGTGGAAACGCGCGGAGCCGAGTGCGACGCGACGCGAGATGGGAAGCACGTGACCCCGGCAGCACCCGGAATAGTGTTACCGCTGAACCGCTGGTGAACCTGAACCGGACCAAAAGTCCGGTTCAGTGGCTGTGAGGTTCACCGAACCGGACCGAAGGTCTAGTTCAAGGTTCAAATTTTTTCAGAATTCTCTGAACCTGGCTGGACCGGTTCGAACCTGCCCAAAAATTGGTCACAAGGACTATACATGTGGGCCCCAAAATGTCCTAATGCATGTAAATGCTCAATGTGCTGCTCCGATATTTTGCGCAACGTCATGGGGGCAGGGTCTGTGGCTATTCGTGATGTTACATTACCCAGTAGAAGTTATTTGTGGACTTTGCACCCCGAGAAAGCTGAGCATAAAATTTGGGGCGGGTTGGCTGGCAACGTTTCGACGTGGTATCTGAATCTTTGACCCATTTAAGAACCTTTGACAGATCAATATTCCATGTTTAACATGAGCCGCTTATGGGCCATGTTGGTGTCTCCGAGTGAGGCAGGGAGCAAGTAGGAGAGACTTATGAGCTTCTGGGGATGGAACAAAGGCTATTGATAGCAGGGTGTGTGGTGTTAAAATATATCATTCATGTCCGACACCTCTAAGTTCAAATAGCCACTTTACCCAAGGCAGTCACAGATGGTGCTTCTTACATAGTGGCCGCGCTAATTTCTCTGTGATGTAAACAGGCAATGTGTATTGCTGCTTCTGAGTTGGATGAAGAGGACATTCAGAGGGTCTAGAGTCTCTGCCGGTCAGTTGTACTTACATTTGTGCCAGTTACAAGCTGTAGAAATGATTTTGATAAGAATAAAATTGGTTCAAGGTTCGAACCCGGTCTGAACCTGAACTGGACCCCGTTGAACCTGAACCTGCGGTCCGGTTCGGTGGCTGTGAGGTTCGGCGAACCGAACCTGGGGTCCAGTTCAGGGTTCGGAAAATATGGGCATGAACTGGACCTGAACCGGACCGCGGCAACACTAAGGGTCCCGGAAGGCGGACGCAAGGGCACGCCACGATGGTGGGGGCTACAAAAGGGGAGGGATAAATGAGGAATGCTATAGGAAGGCTAGTACACACCCTGAAATATAGCGGGTGCGAGCCGAAGGGCGGGAAGCGGCGGAGGTGGGGGGGGGGAGCGGGCAGCGGGCAGCGGGCCAGGCACGCTGCTTGTGCGGGAATTAACGAGATGGCAGTTGTGCTGGGAAGAAATGCTTCGGAAGCTGCAATGCATCGCGCCCAACGCTGGGGCAGGCGGCAGCGGCGCGCACTGGCGGCGGAATAGGGGCAGCACACCCAGAGTCCCAGGACCTAGACGGAACAGTGCTGATGGGGCATCAATATTGTGAGGTCCCGGTATTTAAACGGGATAGGACCCCGCGTGAGTCGCCCAGAAACCAAGCAGAGTTGCACAAAGGTGAGTGGGGGAACGTTGGATTCAAGAAAACTGATCAACTACCTACTCGGGGTCTACCAAATACTGTCCTAATGTCCTTGTACTAATTGTCCTTGTGTCTAAAATATCTACTTACTTGTATGCTATGAATGGTGGCTGTAACTGGTACAACGGCCGCAGTCGAACAAGGCCGTCGAACATTCATATCTGATCTAATCCCTAATCAACCGTGGGATCCAGTGAAACGGTTGCTCAGAGTCAAAGGCTGCAAATGCAAAATGAACAAAATCCAACTTTCGAGTGATTGAGATTGGACACAACTCAAATGAGCGAGTAAGTCCAACTTCAACTACCAAATTACTAGATCTCAAACACTAAACACCTCTTAATTGCCCCGATGATTTGTCTGACGAGTTAGGGTCTTTTTAGACACAAGTATAGGTCTAAGGAGCTCTAAGTCGGGACCTCTTTAATTGTCTCTGTACTGTGAGGAGTTACTCAAAGAGGAACTTTCTCCACGGGCACTTGGTTCAAGTAACAATTTGACCGAGTCAAGATTGAAACCGAGCAGTTATAGTTAGATTTTAAGTTTCTCAGCTATAGCGCAAATAACGGCTTGAAGGCCGGCAAGTTGTTTGAACCAAAGTTCGGGTTTTTGGACACAAGTCCCACGGTTCGATAATCTCAAATCACAAGTCCCAAATGCTTTCTCTGATCTCAAGACAACGGACACACGGCTCTTTCAAACTCAAAACTCAATTCACAACATTGGCAATCAAAGACAACGGACGGACACACGGCTCTTTCAAACTCAAAACTCAATTCACAACATTGGCAATCAAAAGAAACTTTATTTCACGGGACCACTATCAAAATAGCAGAGTCCTCAGAGTAAAGCCCTCAACCGAGACCTGTCGCGCGCGTGGGAAGGGGCAATGGTGTTAGCCTTCCACACTAGCTTGGGTCAAGATTCAGTGCCGTTCCTCGTCAGAACGTCCTGCTTTTATACTACAAATTATATACTATTACAATGCTTGATTACACTACCACGGGTATATACAGGTATCCGGCAGGTCATCTGGTATCGGGATATTATTCCCATTGGCTGATCACAGGCTCTATATGTTTAATTCTGACAAACAGGTTACCAATTGCAAGCAACCGTCCCCTTACTGTTGCGATCGGGTATGATTTAACTCCTGTTGAACGAGCTAAACACCTTCTGTACTTATTACACTTCTGCCCGCTGTGTCCGGAGGACGCGGATAATTACACGCTCTTCTGTAGCTTTAATTTGATACCCATAACTCCCGGATTGGAGTTACGGTGACTTCTGTACGGGTTACTTTGTCAGGAAACTATATTTAGTCATCCGTCGGAGTAAGCCGATCGAACCTACTTCGGTGAGAACCGCTACTCGGGTACTTCACAACCGGATCACGTGGCCAATCGCGTTGCGGAAACCATCAAAACTCAACCAAACAGGGCGGTGTTATACGCCGTAGTACTCGTTAGGACATCAACCAAGCTTCACAGAGTGGATATTCGTCATCTCCTTGGTAAGTGGCTATGTTCATGTCCCATTGCCATTTAACTGAACACTCGGAGCTCTGAGTCGTGTCAGCCCTCAGACGTGCGCAGAATGTAATTATTTAGTAATTCCATTGTTGGTAAACTTCGCGGCTTATCACCGGATCACTTCACCCGCTGCCGAGGTCCATTCCTTACAAATATGGGGAGCGGGGCCGGGTAAGGCCGAGGGATTAATTGCTAACAAGGATAAATACCTCCCAATTGGGAAGCGTGCACGGACCAACAATCGAGGCGGCGAGCGCGCACGCTATTGATTGATGCGCCATGGATTGATAGACGGGCGCCAGGCGCGCGGGTAGGTATGCTGCAGGTGGGCGCCGACTTTGTGCTAACAGCTGAACTGATGCATCACAACGCATCGCTATTATCGCTCATCACCAATGTTATGATTAATCAAAACCCCAGATATGCCTGGGCCGTGATACTTAACGAGTAGACTCGTTACCAGTCTGCCTACGAATGGCAAAAAGTGTGGCAAGCACTTTGCCGTAGGCAGACTGGTACAACTCGGAACGATCAATTGGGCTGAGCCCGGAGTTTGAATTTTTCTTGTGACCCACGCCCTGGCCTCAAATTTGATTATTATCATTTTCTCAAAGTTGAGGACTTCGTTGTAGGAGTTATATCCTGACTTCTGTCTCTTCAGAATTTCAATGTATAACCTCCAGGGGCCACAGTGTCGACCTCAGTTTGATTGATGAACTCCCTGTCGGACCGAGCCCCGGTGATCGGCGTGATCGGCACCACCCAAAATTTCAAACTCCGGGCCCAGGTTGATTGTTTGTTCCGAGTTGTACCAGTCTGCCTACGGCAAAGAGCTCGCCTCATTTTTTTGCTCCTCGTAGCAGACTGGTCACGAGTCTACTTAACGAGACCTGTAACGGAGGCTGCTGCGATGCGGGGACCCTCGATGCCCTTGCTGAACCGGGGGCCATACAGGTGCAGCTCAACGGTCGCCAGTGCGGGGAAGGCAAGATTCTGACCCCCGGCGTGTACGCACACGGACTCGACCATATCGGCGATAATCCGGCCATCCAGTCTGGGGCGTGCTTTCGCGGCCGATTCCGCAGAGGACGGGTGCGGCAGCGTGTGGAGTGCATACGGCGGCGGCTCCTCCCTATACGGCCGCGCCGGCAGCGAGGGAAGGAGAGGGAGATGAGAGGGCGTCGAGACGGCGGGCAGCGCCAATGGAAGAGGAAGACTTGTCGGCCTAATGCTGACGATGATACCGGTGACGACTGCAAAGCTACGGCTCATATCGTGTACGCGGGGTGGCGGCGGCGACATGAGGCGTGGATGGGGTATCGGGTGTATGATGCCGACGGGGCGTATCGGCACACACCGACCACCCCGTTGTCAGGCGGCAGCGCAGGATGCTGTGTGCGCAACAGCGGCGGTGTGGACGCGGACATCGTACGATGGCTTGAAGCTTGAAGCTTAAAGGGAAAGACAAAGGGCGTGGAATTGCGATGGAGGCGGAGCAGTATTGAAGATAGCGGCCTCTCCGTGATTCGCTTGTGCTTCATCGGTGCCAGGATGCGCTGGCTAGAGAGTTTGGGAGGAAGAGGCTTGGGAGGAGGACAGCCTTCGGTCTTCGGACCGACCCTTCTTACCTAATTATTCCCGGACTTGCACTCAAGCCAGAGCGCCATTTTCCTCCTGGAACCTCTCGCCACGGTCCGCACTTTTTGTCTGCTTGATATTTTGTCTTCCTCACTGTGCCTCATTTTTCAGGCGCACTGGCCCTTCAAGTTTGCGGCTCCCTTCAAATCTAACATCTTTCTTTTGAGTCCTGCGGCAAGGTAACTTGATTCCTCCATCCAACTCCGATCCTCCAGACTGTGGACGTTGATGCATTCCCTCTTGATGGAGCGCTGCGGACAGGAGGTTTATTTATTCGCCGCTGCGGGATATCGCTCACCGATCCGTCCATAAATGGTCGGACGTGGTGTACGGTGCACAGCCTCTCTTCTTGCACGAGATCTCATCACAGAAAATATGAGGCAGACCGGGGTTCGATTCCCCGTGTCCGAATATTCCTTCCCGCCTCCGCTTTTGGTTTTTAACCCACTGCAAAAATATCTCACCTATGCAACTTCGCAGGTACAGAAATCATCGGATATGGTGTACGGTACACGGCCTCCTCTCCTGTCGTGGAGTCGTAATCTCCTTCTCCAGGTCACGAGTTGCGCGAGGCAGATCGGGGTTCGACTCCCCGTGTCCGAATGTTGCCGCGACGATGATTATGATTTGTTAACACGCTGCGAAATATCGTTCACTTAATGAAGTCAGTATGTAAAGAAAGCATCTTGGAGAAAGGTGACCGGAGGCAGCTCGGGGTTCGACTCCCCGTGTCCAAATAATTAGGTCTTCTAATAATTTTCTATTCACTGGTGCGAACTATAGCTCACTTGTTTAAGTTAGTAGGCCCAGGAATTATCGGGCATGGTGTACAGTATACCGCCTCTCTTCTTTGACCGAATCTCAGCACAAAAAAGTACGAGGCAGATCAGGGTTTGAATAGCTGGTGCTTGGCAGCTTTTTATTCACCGCTGAGAAATATTGCTCGTTGGGTCCGTTCACACATGACCAGAGGTAGATCGGGGTTTGACTCCCTGTGTCCGAATACAGATTCACGCAAGTGCACTTCGAAAGATGTTCACCGATCCACTTTCGCAGGCATAGAAATAGTCGGATGTGGTCTACGGTACACCGCTTCCTCTCCTTCTGCTGCATGCGAAAAGTTGTGCGAGGCAGATCAGAGTTCGACCCCCCGTGTCCGAATACTCGGGTGTTCTAGGTTTTATGCACCGCAGGGAAATATTGCTCACCTATCCATCCCTCTAGGTACAGGAATAATCATACATGGTGTACGGTACATCTTGAAATAATTGATGATGTCTCATACAAAACATAATAATCTCATTCAATAAATAAGTCCAGGATCAGTATCACAATAGAATCAAGCTGAAACCAAAGCTTGATCTAGGGATCATACTTGGCTATCATGTATGAGCTGGTGAAAGTAAGGCTGGGATGAGGAGGTAGGTATATAACTTGCAGACTGAGTTAGAGGAGAGGTATTGAAGGAATGTAATCATTTGGAGTGGCAGGTTTGAACGTCATATGAAGAGAGAAAGTTCATGGGACAGTATCATGTTAAATGAATATGTTCAAGATTCACACCACAGCCGAGCAGGGGGTTCTCAGCCATCAGACACACTCAGACTCTCTACCTCTTCAACAATTCACAAACCGGTGGTAATTGGCTAAGAGACCAGGCTCTCCGTAGGCAAATCAAGTGTGTTGTGAGTGATTCCAGCGAGCCTTTCATCAATATGAACAATTTGCTTTTCCTGTGATGATCGTTCGAACAGTGGTCGTGCAGTCTCCCAAAGCTGTCCTGCCTTCATGACATCCCCTCGCAGCTTCGAAATATCTCCCAGGCAAAGCATGCATTCTGCTCTGCTACGGTGAACATCCATCTGCGTGAATCCCTCGAGAGCGACCTCGAACAGACTTGTTGCTGTCTGTTGATTGCTGTATGCCACCTCTACATCTCCCAGAAATTGGAGAGCTTTGTAGATTTCCAGTTTCATGCCATGTTTGAGGCTATGAATCAGAAATGTCACGGTTTCATTATATGAAAGTTGATCCCGTGCAGGCCAGAGACAGCTATTTCCCAGGGTCTCTAAACAGGAGCTGACAACCTTGGCATCTTTTCCCCAGGAGAGTGAAAGACTCCGTTGGAATTTGCTTTTTGCTTTTAAAAAGGCTCCCTCTTTGACATCCAGAGTTGCCTTGACAATCTCACACCAGATGGTCCCCATTGAATATCCCATGCTGCTACAGAGCTGGTGTGCTGTCTCAATGTTTTTTTGCAGTTCAGGCCTTGATGCATGAATTTCGATATCAATCTGTGCAATGCTGAGTAAGGTTTCGGCATGCTGATATGGGTTTTGGTGAATGGGGCAATTGGGCAGTATTTGAGTCCAGATGTCATGGGCCTCAAGATATTCCGATTTCAACAGGTGAACCTCGGCTTGAGTGCCCAAGATAGCATTATTGAGTCTGCCGCTGGTCATGCCACAGTGATGGAGAAGATCCCTTGCCCTTTTAAAGAGTGGGATGCTGGCCTTGTAGTTACCAAGAGCATACCAACACATTGCTTGTACCTCCAATGCTTCAGCTTCTCTGTATGAGTTGCCCAGCAATTTTGCCAGTCTTTGAGACTCATATGCCTGCTCCTGAGCAGCTAAGTAATCACCCATTTTCCATTTTATCAATGCCAAGGTCCCCAACAGCTGAGATTGATGCCTGATGCTACCAGTGGAAAGAGATAATGATAGTCCAGTTTGAGCGAAGTTAAGAGCACCTGGAATATCAGTGCTGCTGTCCCAAAAATGTAGTGCCAGAGCACGATAGAATTGGCCTAATAGAGCCTTCTTTGTTAGTAAGCAATTGAAAACCAATACTTGACATGACCAACATTTAAGATCTGGATCCTCAAAGGATGTGAATGATTGTAGAACTTTGTCCAGTATATGGTGGGCTTTGCGAATGGGACGATATCTATCTGCTTCAAGTAGACGGATGCAGTAATGAACTTCCAGCTGATGGTCCCGTAGGTGTGGCAGAAGTGGGGGAATCAGGTCCATTACTTGACTCGGGCTACGTCCAGACAAAATACTAAAGGAATCAAAGCGACATGCACAGTAGATTGTATTCTCCAGATCAGGGTTGTCTTGGTTCAAACCCTGTACTAAAAGATTGTGAATGTTGACCAAGTTAGATGTGATTCGGGCGACTGTCCCCGGAGCTAAAACAGTTCCATGAAAAGTCACATAGACCTCCAGCAGCGCCTGAAAGTGTTGAAGGAGAGGGGTAACCATACAAGCCCTAGGTGGGTGTATTTTTTGAATATATTCCCTGATGGGGACCAATGCTTTTAGTCGCTGCTGGTCATCAACATATGCCAAAGATGTGCAAAGCAAGATAGCTTTGCAGGCCAAGATGTTGTCAATTGGGAGTGTGCTTTGCAAAAGTTCTGCATTGGAAAGTCCATCTGGGAGCATGGAGAGTAGACTCAACAACTCCTTGGACTCTGGCAAGGACTGGATACGAGGGCTTTCAAGGGACAGTGAAATTGATGCATTGAGATTTGAGCCTCTATCATGGCCTCCGGAGAGCAGTGAGGTCCCCTCTTTCTGCCATCGATCCAGCACGCTAGGAACCCCTTCGTAGTCCACCAAATGAGCAATGAGATCAATTGCCAGGGGCATGTTATCAACAAGAAGCAGGACTTGGTCAATTTCTTCAAGAGGATAGCCTTCATCTGCAATGTCACTGAAGGTTTGACGAGCAGCATCCTGTGTCAAGGGTTGCAATGGTTTCAAAAATGGACGAGTCCAGCGGACACTGGCTGGCCTTTCTGCTCCACGCATTGTTATCTGGAATGCTCTCAGTGTATGGATTAGGATGGTAAGATTTTCTGCTTACGATCAATGCCAAATTATCTAAACCAGAAAGGAGGGCCAAGAACTTCTCCACTGCGACACGAGTCTCTCTTGCCTCCCAAACTGTCTCCAGACTGTCCAAAACCAACAGTGATGGTGGGCTGCTGGTGAAATAGCGGATAACAGCTTGAGTCAGATTGGTTCCTGGCTTCATTCCTACATGGGCTCCAATCAGGCAGGCAAGTTGAATGGCATCGGATGCAGTATCACAAGGAATGAAAACCCGATGCGCGCCATATCTAGCACTGATGTCCGGGTGATGTACAATGCCTCTTGCCAAGCTTGTCTTGCCAATTCCTCCCGGTCCCAAAATTGCTATTCGAGGTATTCCTATGCCAAAGGTTTGGATGATGGTGGAAACTTCAGATTCCCGGCCATGGAATATCTTCGGCTCCGATGGCAATAAGGAAAGTGAGTCGGAGCTTGACAATAGTTTAGATAGATCCACAAATGATCCAATGTGCACATACCTGCTCGAGAGGCTTCTGCTGATCTGTTGAATCTCACTCAAGATTATTTATTTTAAAATAGGTTTAAGAAGGGCATACAGCAGATCCGGTGTCCGATGTTTCTTCATTGGCAAAGGCCGAGATCATCTTCAGGACTTCCTCGTGCGTCTTTTGTGCATGCTGTTGTCTTTCCGCAATATCACTTAGAAGACTAAGACCCTGAACCTGAAGTTTCTTCAATTGTGGAAAATGCAGTACTAAGAGTAATGAAACCTTGCCTTGAATGCCTCGAGTGCATGGTCCAGTCCCATTTGACAGTCCTTGAGTAGTGTCCTCATATCACCTTTGCGAAAGAACTGCTTGAGTTTGCTTTTCTCCTGTTGGGCCTCGACAAATGTGTGGATCTTGTGCAAAGTCCTATGGAGGTGAGTGCAAGGAATATGTGTATGATGAAATAACTTGCTCATTGAATTCCCCCAAATGATTCAATATGGCTGGAGGTAACTCACCACCCGTATTAGACTTTATATGGAGATGGATGATCATATAGATAAGTGTGTGGATTTTCTCCAACATTAGGGTACAATCATCCTGGTTTTTCTTCACCATCTGCAGAGATTATATAGGAACCTGGATGATAAATTCACAACGCACATTCAGCTGTACAGCAGCCAACAGTGATTGAACGGTGTTTAAGATGTGGTCCAAAAATGGTGTCTTCAGGCCGGCTGAAACCAGTTCCAAAGTGGGTACAGCGGCACTCAAAGCCACAACAATGCTGTCCCAGTAACTTTGCGAGGGCTGAAGGGGCATGACTGTGTGATGACATTCACCAACAGTGACAAGGTCCAGCCTTTATCCCAATGTACGTGAGAGATTTATTACCCATCTGCTCCACCATCTCTCATCACCCTTCCAGAACCTCATCACTCTAATATGATCAGGTTCATATGTGGCAGAAGCGTGATTACATTGACCTGCCGTACAGTACCCACTCGTATGTTCCTCAATGGGACCACCACAGTAATATATCCTCCTGCCCAGCGCTTCCTTGATGCTGTGGAGCTCTTGTGCAGTATCCCCATGTCATTTGACCGAGCCATAATTTCTCCTGAGCCCATCAACGACCTTTCTTGGATGAGATCTTTCGCATATCATGCATCATGTGCTGGAACGCAGCAAGCATATCCATCTCACGGAAGCTGATGAAGCGCCAAGGCATCTACTTCTCGTGCTCAACATGGCATGAGATCCTTTGATT